TTGTAGAGATGAGGTCTCGCCAAGTTGCCCTGGTGGGTCTCGAACCCTCAGGCTCAGGCAGTCCACTCACCTCATCCTCCCAAAGCACGGGACTACAGTCTGAGCCACCGAGCCTGGCAAGACATACTTTCAAAACCATAGAAATACAGCCAGTTTCGGTGACTCAGCCTGTGATCCCAGCACTTTGGGAGGCCGAGTCGAGGGGATTGCCTGAGCCCGCCTGTTTGAGACCAGCCCGGGCAACTTGCTGAGACCTTGTCTCTACAATAAAATAAAAAATAACTGGGCGTGGTAGCGCACGTCTGTAGTTCCCACTACTTGGAAGGCTGAGATGGAAGGATCGTCGGAGCCCAGCAGGTCAACGCTGGGGTGGCCGTGAGCATGCATGCCACTGCACTCGAGCCTGGGCAAAGGAGTGAGATTCCAACTCAAAAATAAATAAATAAGCCGGGCTCAGTGGCTCAGCCTGTAATCCCGCGCCTTGGGAGGCTGAGGTGAGTGGATTGCCTGAGCCCGCGGGTTCGAGACCCGCTTGGGCAACTTGGCAAGAACTCATCTCTACAATAAATAAAAAATTAGCTGGGCGTGGTAGCGCGTGCCAGTAGTTCCAGATACTTAGAAGGCTGAGGCGGAAGGATCGCCGGAGCCCAGTGGGTCGAGGCTGCGGTGGCCGGGAGCGGTCACTACACCTCCAGTCTGGGCGACAGAGTAAGACTCCAACCCAAAAAATTAAAAAATAAATAAATAAATAAATAGATAAATAAATAAATAAAAATAAAAAATAAATCCATAGAAATACAATACATGGCCAGGCACAGAGGCTCACGCCTATTATCCCAGCTCTTTGGGAGGCTGAGGTTAGAGGATTGCCCGAGCTCACGGGTTGGAGACCAGCCCTGGCAATTTGGTGATACCTCACATCTCTACAATAAATAAAAAAATTATTTGGGCGTGGTGGCAAGTGCCTGTGGTTCCAGCTACTTGGAAGACTGAGGGGGAGGGATCGCCTGAGTCCAGCAGATTGAGGCTGCGGTGGCCGGGAGTGTGCCACTGCCCTCCAGCCTGGGTGACAGAGTGAGACTCAAAAAAAAAAAGAAAGAAAAAAGAAACCGGGCTCAGTGGCTCAGCCTGTAATCCTGCGCTTTGGGAGGCTGAGGTGAGTGGATTGCCTGAGCCTGCAGGTTCGAGGCCTGCCTGGGCAACTTGGCGAGACCGCATCTCTACAGTAAATCAAAAATTAGCCGGGCGTGGTAGCGCGCACCTGTAGTTCTAGCTACTTGGAAAGCTGAGGCGGAAGGATCACCAGAGCCCAGCAGGTCGAGGCTACACCGTAGAGTGAGACTCCAACTCAAAAAAACAAAAAAAATACAATACATATATAGAAATTTTGATATAAGTATAAAGCTTAATTAATTTTCATGAACTGTGCACCCACATAGCTAGGACTGAGATAAGGAAATAAAACATTACCAGTGCCCCCAGATATCTCCTTCAAGTGCTTAGGCAATTTATTTCATTTTCTTTTTTTTTTTTTGGAGTTGGAGTCTCACTCTGTCGCCCAGACTGGAGTGCAGTGGCCGCTCCC